CACCTTGCCACCTCCTAGGTATGAATTTCATCTAACGCAGACGGTTAATGCCGGTCCATATTCTCAGAAGATCAAAGTTTCTTATCTTCCACATTGTTCTTGGTTCTGTCCTATGAAGTAGAAGCTACTGGATAGCGATTCAGGGTGAGCTATGATTTCAGGCAAGAGATCCATCATTCACGCCATCTAGTCGATCAGCAAATTTGGTGATGAACGTCAGAAGATCATAATTGCCCCTGATTTAAATAATTTGATGCTTGATTTATTCATCAATTCACGAAACGTCGTATTTACACAGGTAACACTACGGCAAGGTCACTCTTATAATTGGTTTCCTCCAATGCCGCGACCGAACCGAATATATCTGCCTCATGTTCAAGGCCTTCAGGTGATGGAAAGGCCATTAACGCTGTCAGTATGACTCATTATGGCAAATGACACTTGTCTTCGTCAGTTCAGAGGGATGATGGCGCAGCGACAGCTTTCAATTAAGTGATGTTCTAAGTTCTTTGTTCTTCTTGCAGGTGGAAAGGGACAATGTGCAATGGGTATGAGGTAGCCTTCTAATTTTGGTGAGTAGAGGTAGAATTTGGGTTTCCTTTAACGGTTGATCGTACTGAGCAAGGAATTCGCTCCACATTGCATCAATGAAGCCAGCTAAGAATTAATTTGTAATCACTGACCTGCGAACAACAGAGAAAGCATGGTGCTCTGGAGTGGTCATACCAGAAATACGGACGTGCTGTCTGATGCGAGCACCGTGGATATGCAGTTCTCCTTCATCCTCCTGATAGCTGGCTATTCAATGTGAGAACGAGGTGTAAACGAATTTTATTTCCCATTTCAACGTTGTCTGGGCTGACTGCTGTCCATGATCACGAATGGCCGTCCTCCGTTCAAAGAATAAACGGCATGATTAAAAGACCCAACCGATAACAAACTAAGTTCCAGAATTTCATACTCTTGTATTAAGAACCAGAAGGACCGTGGCAGTGGATTGCTCAAAAGTTTGATTATGAACATTGATGAAGTGTACTGTCACTTGTGTTTTTTGCATAACGATGGATGTAGATTATTAGTGTTGATGGCAACTGACATTGCCCTGTGCGATTATACCTGTTCCGCCTAATTATCGCTTCGCTGTTCCAAACCATTAGGATGTCGTTTCAGTTTATGAATGCATAGAATACGAATTCATAGATTCTGTAGTTTGGTCTTTACCCATTTTTTGTTCAAGGACACCGGGATTGGATTGTGTGTGTATGTGCTATCGTAAGACATATTTCGATGTTGCGGCAGTGCTCAAACATATGATGCCCGCAAGACGATAAACAAATTAATAAGCTTCCGATCACTTTTCACTGCTTCCCTGAAGACAACGTTCCAAGGTCATTACAAGCCTTTCTTAACGGCGTCTTCGTATGTTTGGTAGCTCTTGTGACTGGGCCAGCGATGTCATGTGTTTGCTCGCAATCCAGCCTGACGAGGCGATTCGTAGGACTGTAAACAGCAGCATATTTTCCTTGCCTACCAAAATGCTGTTTGCGTTAAGAATCAGGTGGCCCGGAGTTACCGAAGAGAATCAGAAACGCATGTTCCTGACCGGAAAAACATTTGTAGCACGAGAATTCAAACCGCCAAAAAAGGGTGTATCGTTATGTTCTCGATTCGCACATTTTTGGCAAATTGCCGCCGTGAATTGAACTGAACTGATATTGGTTAATGGGCTACAGTCGCCTATCTGACCCATGCAACGGTCGTCTCTTTAACCTAACAGAAATTTACACTGGTGTGCGGATTTTGCCGCTCTTCCTTCACTGCAGCGTCACGTCGAGCGATCGACGATGCATGGCCACATTAACTGCCACTTTCACACTTGAGGAATGTAAGTGCGAAATTAGCGCCATTTTAAATTAGATCATAAAAATGGTTCTTTGTCGGCAACGAGAGTTGAGGGATGGTGCCTCATGGAGGAATTTTTTGCGTAATAAGGGTATAGTGGATTTAAGATCGATAAAACCGAGGCCGTGTGCAACGACCGTGGTGCTGGTCGTTGCAAGTGGAGCATTTCCGTTTGGGCGACAACTGCGAGACGATTCAACGGCCGATGTCCTGCACAAAGACGTAAACGCTTTCGGACTTAGACATGTGCGGCTTCGGGCTCTTGACTGTCGATGCAGATGAACATCGACGTAGGTGTCGCTGCCGGTGGGTGAGTCGGTGAATTTAATGCACCGAAACTCAATATGTTGCAGTGTGCCTTGCGCCGGTGACTCACGACCTCCGTCTCGTAGTCGATGCACTCGATAGCCGAGTTCGGTTGGTCGCTCGGTCGTTCGGTTCGGCGATTGTCATGTCTTCGTTTGCCATTGTTAACGGTAAACATTATTCGCTGTCATACGGGAAGCGGTGAGTCACGGCGTTCGTTCGTTCGTCGTTCGCTCATTAGATCAATGATTATTATAGATTATAGATATAGAACGGTCCGTCGGTCGGCTGTCGATCGAATGACAGGCGGCCGTCGGGCAATCCTTGATTCGCCCGCCTATAGCTTTTTCGACGCTAATGTCCTGCGCACCCTCGGCACCTCATTGTCCCCGTAGATACGTCCTCAATCGTGAGGGGGTAGAAGAACGACGGATTACGGTAAATTGCGGCGAGGTGGCTACACTCGATGACGGCGAGCACTCCTTCGAAATGAAGTATTCATTAGACAACGGAAAGCGCAACTGACGGTCGAACGTTGGCAGCGCGTTAAATCAAAAATTCACGGCTTTACAATTTCCAAGCGATACGTTTTTCCGCATTAAATGCGTCTTTAGTAAAGCACCAAAGGTGGGCGGAGACTACATCAAGACTTTGACGACTGAGGAGCAGAGGAGTCAGTCCAAATGTCCTCAACGATCGATCAATTCCGTTACTTTACCACTCTCCTTCATCTGGCGTCCCTGTCACCCGCAAGCTGTATGGATGGAAGCATGTCACAATAACTGAAACATAGTACAGAAGCGTTTTAGTAATAGGAGGCACAATATGATGGCTTAATTGATGACAAACCGATATTAATGAACAGTACCAACTAGATATTCCATAATCGGAAATTTCACACTGACTCATTAATTTGATCATGACGTTTGTTGGAGTTCGGTTTGAGACACGACGATATCAAGTGAATAACTTTCAGTTTATAGGTGAGCAAGGGAGAGAACAAAAATTCCGCAAACCGAGTTTTCCAAGAGTTATGCGCTGTTTACCTTACTCTGGTAACTGCGCAATTTCAGAAAGGCAGTGAGTTTCGACCACCTCCTGTCTTTTCTGGTCGCGGAGGCAGAAACGTAAGACAGGGTCTTCAACGTTCTTGATCCTATGTCAACGTCTGACTTTGATAATCGGAGTCTGGAGCAAAGTCGTCTGAGGCAATTGCCTCATGCCGTTCTTGTTCGTCGGTGGGATCTTCGGTGATCGGCTGAACAAGTAATAGACGTTTCTCCTATCTTTCTGAAAGCTTTCGCAAAACGTGCGGAAACCATCGCAACTGCGATTTACCAGTTTGGAGCACAGTGGTTTAGGCCACCAATTTCACGAGTATCTGAACTTCAAAAAATGTAGATCTGCGTTATTCCCGCATTCTTTTCCATTTATTTGAATCCAGGATCGCAGGTTTTCAATCATGGTCCACTACTGACAAAAATACCTGAGCATCGGAATGAACATCGACTTGAACACATACAGCTTTTTCTTCATATTCAGCTCTGCCAGAGTCACATTATCACACAGAGTCACGTAGTCATAGCGATTCGAGATGATTCACAGAAAAGCCTCTGGCCATCCAAATTCACCGGTCTATCTCTTTTTCCCAGTTTCCATCCGAGGTAAACATGACTCAGAGGTAAGTGAACTTCTCCATTTGTTCCGCTGCTCCTCCTTAATCTGTAGAGCGCAGCTGGTAGAATGAAGAAAAGGTACTAGGCTTTACGTTTTAGATACGTTCATAAGCATGCCGACCACGTCGCATTCGGCTGTCAAACTTTACAGAGAGCCCTGGAGACCAGATTCACAAGAAGAAAACAAAAAAGGACATCGGCAAACGGAAGCTGCTTCCTCTCCAGGTCTTCTGTGCTGGTGTACTTGTCACCGTGGTTGCACCTGACTAATCTGTTCTTCTACGACACTAAAAGGAGAGAGGACAGAACGCAGTACTCGCGGCGACCATTGTCAACATTGAAGGGTGTCAATTAAACACAAATTACTCTGACAAAGAATCTTCTATGAGGAAAAGCAGTTGTCACATAAATTACTAAATGTAGTTGGTGACACTTGGACACAACCTAAACAATACATTAACAAAACTGAACACATTAATAGTGTAATCTAAAATGTGCACAAATAGTTGACATGTAAAAAATAGATATTTTAAAACAGGATGGATAGTACACACGATTGAATGAGTTAGCTTAAACCACAACGTAAATCACGAATGATTTTATTGCTTGCTCAATCAGTTATATTGCCTAACAAGACTCACCCCTCCTCCCTCCCTCCGCTGCAACATGAAGGTCGGTCAGCAACCCAAATTCCAATGACAATGGGACGACGAACAGTTGAAAACTTGCGTAGATTCATGGCAGCCGCGAATAACCATGCATTTTGATAATAGAATTTTTTCTATGAGTGCTTGCAATACTTTGATGGAAAAGGCATTCTTTCATAAAAAGGTTTTACTATAAACCAAAATCTTTACTTTTTACTTAAGTTGTCTTGTAGGTAATAAAGAACTGTCAACTTCAACTGAGTCCAAGAAAGGATCGCAACTATGTTGCAAATGAAAGGTTCAAATCGCTTGTGAATCAGGTACCATTTTGTAAGATCTTCCTCCTTTGGGTTCACAAGCCTTGACAGCAATTGGATTCATGACTTGTGAATCATTGTGATTCCCAACTCCTTGTGATTGATTGATGCAGGAACCGAAATTAAAAGAACAATGAAATGGACCCAAGTCAAATTGAAACGCAACCTTAAGAATACCCAATTATATGTTTGAGACCTCTGCAAACCATCGATCCTCCCTTTAAAGACCATTTATTCTAGATGTGTTTCCAAATGCACTTCGAGGATTTTCGGTCGGCAAAGTTTGTTCTTCTTTGCCTTCTTGTTTTAATTCACGACAAACATGGATCAGTTCACCACAAATCTGCCTCATAAATTCGCCATTCTTCAGCGCCATCTTTCCGGAAATTTCCACAAAATAAATGCTGACGATTTATGTTATTGGACGAATCGCAGACTGCATGAAACTTGTAAATTTATCACCAATCCGATATGTATGGGGACACGTTAATTCGCCATTCATTTAGGCCCTTTCTTACATTCAGTTATATTGGCAGACGAAATATAGTACTAGTCACGGTGAAGAAGCAATAACTGCTAGTATTAACGCTTATATAGTACGCATTGGAATGGCTTTATGACCTGCTTCAACAATCTGCTGTATTACGTTGCGCTGAACAAACTGTGCACGGTGAACATGATGAGGAATCATTTGAATAGCGTTGTACTTGTAAAAATGATTTCGCATAGGGGTAAAGACAAATTGGCGTATTCCGGTGCCTGATCCTTAAAGTAAGACGTTTACCCAGTGATTTATTTGAAACAGGAATTTGAATTTGTGATTGCCAAGACTATCTACACCGTTTAATAACTGTCTATGAAAAAACATGCACCATAACGCGGCTGAAAACGGGCAAACTGCAACCGAGGCGAAGTTGTGTCACGAACAATGCAATATTATGTCGAAAATATCTATAAACAAAAAAGTGAATACGCCAACGGGGCACAACAATGTAATGAACCTAATCGTAGTGACTCATCTCGTTATTCTCTACCCAGCGCTGGCGTAGACAGTAACTTTCAAAGATCTAAGGCAAAACCATTAACAGTGGTGTGCCACTAGCATGTATTTTTCTTAATCCATAACCATGAGTTTCAATGCTTGGTATCTTACTCCATGGCGCTACCAGAGCAGTGACATGCTTACGTGGTCCATTTTTACATCTGCATGGAGCGGTACAATGATGCGGTAGAACCCGGGGGGGATCTGAACTCGTATCGTCATTCGCTGCCGTTTCGTTATGGCAAGCTGTGTAAACCATAAATATATGAACATATGAAAGACAGATGAGTAAGCATTCACTGCAAAAATTAGAAAGCCCTTCAACGGTCGTGCGGAACGATACGAAGAATCGAGCATTGATAGTAATTGCGGTGCAAGACACTTCCCACCGACTTTGCAAAAGAGAAATAGTAATATGCACATATTAATCACTGCCTACAGGTACTTTTGAAACCTCATAATTGATGCATGACGACGATAGTGAAAATTAGCATAATCCTTTGAAATGCATGCCAAAAAGAATGGGCAAGTCTGAACAGTGTTATTACGCTTAACATACAGGAGTTTGCCTTTCAGGTTTGAGGCGCGAAAGGTTTTCTCCTTCCATTCCGGAACATGATTATCAATCAAAGATTATGCAGATCAATTATAAACAGTAGCCAACATCGACCGTAACCTACTTCTTTACAGTTAGTACAAAATATAGTGTAAAGCTACTTTTCCATTTCGTTCTTTGGGAACTACTTTAGACGACGATTCTAGTCCTTTCGTCCAGGTCATATGGATATGTTTCAGCAATACATAACGAACTCAGTCAAATCGGGGTACCGTTGCCTTGGACGTTGGTAGTTCCATGCTTTTAATGATGAAGGTGCCGGGGGAAATAACGGGAAGATATTACATGTCAATAAGTAATAGACTGATATTCTAAGAATAGTGTTTATGATTCATCAAGCATGATGATACACTCTCCGGTTCTTAATTACACTGGAGATTGTTCCTGCATTTGAAACCAAAACGTTGCAGAATTATACTTACGCTTGGTTCACTCTAAATATCTTTGCTTTTAAAAACGTTACTAAATTATTTAGCAACAATGGAATACCGCTTTATGTTTGATTCATGGTGTGATCAATCAGAAGCAGATATTTTGAACCGATTGGCCGGTTGCCATCAAATGGTATTCAATACAACACTTCAAGTGAATTGAATATTTGAAGGCTACATCATATTTCTTTCATATCCTACTGAAACTTGCTACTGCAATGCAAGGAAAGCTGAATTTGCTAGAATCTCTGAGCCTACTCTGGCGGCTGATGAAAATATTATGTCAAACAAAAACGCAAAGTTAGTTGCTCTTTAGCTTCCTAGTCATCGTGGCAGTCGTAAGGTAGTGACACTCGAAGAAGAAAAGGAAGGTGAAACAGAGAAAGAATAAGATTTAAACGACATGTACGAGGAGAAATAGAAGCAAGAGGAACAGGAAAGGGAGAAAA